GAAGTGATGACGTAGCCGGATGACGCTGAGCGCGCCAATATATTCCAGCTTGGAAATTAGCGTTTTTTAACAGCGTTTAAAATGAGCTTGTGTGAAAGATAGCTATAATTTGGAAAAGGCAAGTTACTGCTTTATGAATTTTAGACTGAACCATTAAAAATTTAATAATGCTTACTCAATTTTAAAATAATAGATAAAATGGGCTACTCTTTTAACATAAGTTCCGTGTTTTTTTTTTTTATTTGCAGGGTTTTTTATTTAATGCACGTTTTTTTAATCATTTCTTTATTGCATACTAACTGAGAGAATTTTTATGCTGTTTCTAGATAACTATAATAGCAGCTATTTAAATTTACTCAAAAAAAACTTTACATTGACATAGGTTAAAAACATATATGAATATATGGCAACATTTCTGCTAACCTACGTTGATTTTTTGCCTAATTGTAATTTTAAATCGTTATAATTCTCTTCCGAATATAATAGATATTTTTTAAATAATTTTGTAATTTATACTTATCTATATTACAATTAATAATGTATAAGATTGTTACCTTAATTTTGACAAAATAGCTTTATTCAGAGTACCTAAAACAGTTATTTAATTTTTCAAAAGTGTGAGTAAGAAGCAGGTCTTTTATGCAATATGCCATTACTTTGATGTTTTATACTATTATATTTATCTAGAATGCTAATCTTGCACCAAAATCTAATCAATAATTAGTTCAAAGGATACAATAAGAATAACTTTAACAAGTACTTTACAAAATTAGTTGTTAAATACTTGTTATTCTTGTTGGTACTATTTTGGTACTATTCATAATACCGAAGAGGCCCACCAGCGGCCGAGGGGTAAAGTCGCTGAACACTGGTAGTTCGGTCCGAGGTTCGAATCCCGCGAACGGGCTGGCTGCATGGGTGTTTTCGTGGTTTTCCCCATGTGTAACGTGTATACGAGCCAGTTTTCCTTAGAAAGTCCTCCACGAAGGCATCCCTCCCCTTAGGCAGATAGCCCTGGTGTGCTTTGCCATAATTAAATACACACATACACATAATACCGAAGATATTATCGATCAACTCATAGAATGAGATGCTTCTGATTTCCTGTGGGGTAGAGTACCTTTGCGGTACTTTTTGGAATAATGTTTCTCTGGAGCGACTTTGTTCTCTTTCCCTGACCATTAAATAATTTGGTTTAGTTTGTGACACAATTTGATTTCTTCTCAATCTATTTAAAACCTCTTTAATAATATCAAAATTTCAAACATTTTTCTAAACAAATCTCTATCTAAAACGCGGTTTCTCAGTAATTGGGGCAGAGCGCGAATGAGACTCTGATTCAAACAACTGCACTTTTGAAAGAACCAACTTAGTCCAGTTTAGAGTCATAGCAGCGTTTTCATCTATATGCATTTCGTCGAAACTGAGACGCCTATTTTTTAAAGAATACAAATATTCGCTCTTTTTCTTTAGAGTAAGATAGAGTTCAAACATTACTTGAATTTTGGACTACACTAAAATTTAGAAAACACTAAAAATAAACACCATTTTTTGATAACTAGGTAAAGATATTCCAATTTTTTTTCTTAAAAATCATAGCTTTAAGTGACGAGCTCTTATGACGATGCTACGTGAAATTTTCACTAGTCCACCTGATTTTTTTCTTCTTTCAGTAATGCATTAATCTGCGTCTTTATAAAAATCGGTTTAGACATTTTTCAATTCTCCGATTTGGCTCCCCCCCCCCAAATTCGCTATGTGAGATTTTAATTTCTGATACCAATTCTGTCTAGATGTCTCACCTTCTTGTCGCTGCCAACAACAGTTCTAAAATGTTCTTTCTCTATTTTCATACTTAATACATTTTAAATTTTCTAAGGATAATTTTTGTTCTTCAAATTTAAATGTTATCCCTTAAACTTCAAGCGATCTACATTTCATTGTGAGTTTTATTTCAAATCATTTTTGATTATTATTGTCATCATCATTCGATTTATGATTGCCATCATAATTTCTTTCGCACAGCATTCATTTCAAACAGTTTCTTTTGTGGCTATCCAAACAATCGATTTTTCATATCATTCATAAACTGCATAGAAATGTTCGCTGCAGATTTTCCCGTCTTCACATTAATAATTTCTCTTTGACATTTGTGTATCCTTCTTCGTCAAAAGCAACTCTTTGGTCCTTGGTCCCTGAAACAAAAATCTCATCTTTCATACTTGTGTGCTACGGCGTTCTGCAGCGCAAAAAATATTACGTAAACGATATTTACAATATAGATTTAAAATAAAAACTGACTAAAATTACATATATATAAATTATTTAAATATATACATTATTAGAAACAGATATATATATTATTAAAATTAATTGGGATGTAACCTCTAGAAAATCGTCTCGCAGCTCAATGAAACTACTGTTTTAAACGCGGGAAATCAGGACAGGTGGCATCACTGTGACGTCAGATTATTGCCTGTTACGTCCCCCCACTAGGCTCGCGTCGGCGAGGAGTCGAACAAAGAAATGAGCTAGCCCTTCTATTTATCCCTGGACCTCACTCTCTTTCATCCGCCTCCCATACTCCTTTCACCCTTCTCTTGCTCCCCTCAACCGATCTTTATCAGAAGTCGAGTAAAAAGATGTTTCTACATCTTGACACTCGAGAATGAAATACGATCTGTGTGTATTATCAAAATCATGTAGCAGACGCGCCGACCTATATGTCTTTTCACCCGGGTGATGTCACTACCAGCAACCAATGGCACGCTTTTTCCGTTTCTGACCTAGCCTTTAATACAAGGTTCTTTAATATACTAAGGTTAGGCCAGGAACGGAAAAAGCGTGCCATTGGTTGCTGGTAGTGACGTCACCCGGGAGACAGGACGCATCGGCCGACGCGTCTGCTACATGATTTTGGTAATGGAAAAAATGCAAACTAAAGCAAAATGATCATTTTATATGTGGTAGATACACCGGAAATACCGGGTATATACTTTCCGATTAAGTATTTTGTTAAAGAAAATGTTTATTTTATGCATCGAATTCGTACGAATGCTGAAAATAATTATAAACATTAAATTCTTTTCGTAAAGGGAAGCTTAGAAAGAAAAAAAAACGATTATTTAAGTTAACTAAGGAAATAAATATTGTAAAACAAGGTATTTTTCAATATTTTTTCGTAGTATTGTTTTGCACTAATAAATTTTGTTGAACAGAACCATGATGGCATAACTGCTAAGACCATGGTAAAAAACATAATAAAAAGTATTGTTCTATTTATTTTCATTACTCATGCACTTTTCTTAATACAAATGAACTTTGACATTCCATGAGAAAGATATGATCGTGATTTTCAGTTTAATTACATATCTCAAGCAAATATATATATAAAAAGATTGGACTTAACAAATTCATATTTAAATACCATAAAATTCTACAAATTTCTTAATATCCGTCATTATACTTTTAAATAGTATACTTATCACATTCTTTTTAAAGTGAAAAGTCACTTCATACTGATTCACTTCAGATTTTAGCAGAAGTGCATATTTTTTCAGTATAATCTAAAGTACTCTTATAATCCCTTACACTCCTAAGATTTCTATATAACATTTATCCTGACGTGATTATTTGCTATAGTAAATAATCTTCGATATTGGCATCCTATTCTTCCTTCCATACATTAAAAATGGAACAATTAAAACATTTTCTTAGACATATACGCACAATAATAATATAATAAACTTGCCATACATCTTAGTTTCAGCCCACCAGCGGCTGAGCGGTAAAGTCGCTGAACACTGGTAGTTCGGTGTCGAATCCGCGAACGGGCTGGCTGCATGGGCGTTTCGTGGTTTTCTCATGTGTAACGTGTATACGAGCCAGTTTCCTGAGAAAGTCCTCCAAGAAGGCATCACACCTATTACCGCAGATAGCCCTAGTGTGCTTTGCCATAATTAAATACACACCACATCTTAGTTTCAATTCAGCCTGTACACAAATTAAATATTTTAATTACTAATGTATTTTTATCAGGTGTTTCTTAAAATACTTTTTTATACTCAAAATATGTGTTCAATATGAATTATTTTTCTTTCTCTTATAATTAAAAAAAAAGTTATATGGAATCAAAATTAAAACATATGCAGCAGTTAAATAACATGAAGAGTATCTACTTACTCTTCGCTATTTGTATTCTAGCATTATACACAGATTTTTTTTCCTTCAGAGTTCAGCTATGTGTAAGTTCACTTAGTTATATCAATTAAATTACATCAGACATATGCATCAGTTAAATAACATTGAAGGAAATATGTCACTCGCTCATCGATGTTTGCATCATAGTGGGTCGAGAAATTGTTCTTTCTTCGAAGCATGTGTCAGTTTACTTAGTTCTCAAAGCTTAACTGAGACATTGCTTCAATACATAGAATTACTTTGGGATGTAAAGAAAGTAACCAAACATGTGAATTAACTTGGATAAGCGAATTTATCAACTAATCATTCAGGTAGTCAGTATTGGTAAACATGACACTGAGATTTAAATATGTCACTATAAGTCTATTATAAAAGAAGATTATGATAAAATGAATAGCACATATTCTGGCTTTTCGATGTTGAAATTATCTGCTCTTTGCAGCGAATAGTCCATAACTTACGATCAATTGGAAAACGATGGTATGTGATGCCTGGACTTTTAGTTTCCTTCATAATTCTGACACAACGCTATAACACAACTTGCCATTTCCGACTAGGTATAAAAGCAAATTAAACAACACAAATCAAATGTATCCTGATCAAATGCAACGAATGTAAACAAACGCCGAGAACTAACGACTGTCACCCACATGACGTCATGCGCAGGTGGCATAATTTTCTCCCTGCACTACGCATCGCTCTTGGGCCCCCCCTGACTTTAATATTAAAGAACCTTGATCGGAAGAGGATTTGCGGATTATTCCTATGACTAGCATGTCTTCAGTTGTGTATTTGTGAGTTATGAGCGCTCGAATGCTTTATGGATTTTTAGATAACTTAAATAAAGTCTGCGCTATTTTAGTTTTCTCTTAACATATATAGAGGGTTGGTGCATGAGATAATGTTTTAAATTTGGAGATGCTTGCTATGTAGTCATAAGGAATAAGAAATTTTTGTACAGGTAAGACGTCCTCTTTAGTTTAAATTTTGCGGCCAAATCCACTATACTTCATACTTTTCAAAAATATATATTGAGGCTGTAATAAATGTACAGGTACTTTATTTATTTGACAAAATTTTCCTTAAAATTTTATATCGTAAGTTTTTTAATGGTTTTAATAAATTAAACTTTTATGATAATTTTTCGCGAAATATAAATTATGAGCGTGTGTTCGTAATATATTTATATGTTGATATCCGATTATTGCTGCGCGACTTCGTAGATGTTATAGTTTTAAAATTGAAGAAATTTCCCCAATTAAATTTAATGAATAATGTAACACTTTATGTCATATTTTTTTGCTTTATACTTTCATACATCTTAAAGTATATGTAAAGACGTGAATTATGCTTTAATTAAGTTGCATTTTAAATTTATATATCCCAATTCATTAAGTTCTGTTAAAATCAGAATTTTTAAACATAATTTGTGTCATGTAATATACTGAATCTTCGGCAATAGTATTTATTATACCAGCAATAAAAAAAATAATTGAGCATGAGATTCATAAAAGTTGTGATAAATACTAAAATAGATAAATCACAAAATATTGCTGACATGTTTTATTTGAGTTAGCAGAATGTAGGTAAACAGATGATCTAGAGTATGAAATGTTGCCCAGCGTAGTATTAGACATTTAAAAGGACGTGAAAATTGAATTGGTATATGAGAATAATATATATATGAAATTATATAATTTTGGTATGTTATGAACTTTATTTAAATATGTCAAGTATATGGTATAGTTTTTCCCTTTTAATTTAAAAATAACTGAAAAAAATCGTCTTACAAAGCAACAAGCGATTGTGAAAAAATTCGTTTTAAAATTGTGCTGTTTAAATTTATTATATACTTTTATTTGAAAATTTTTGTTGCAAATATATTTTCAGAAAATTTCATCACTAAAGTAAAATAAGCATTGCAATGTTTCTAGCGAATAATATAGTGTCATATTAATTATAAATGTACTTTGGTTTGGTTTATTTGATTATTGCAAAACACACAAGAGTTATGAGGAGGGATGCTTTCCTGGAGGACTTCGGGAAATTGTCTTGTATCCACATTGCACATGGGGAAAACCATGAAATTGTGCAAACAGCCGGTTTGCTTGGAATCAAACTCGGGTTGAACTACCCGTATTCAACAACTTGACCGGGTACTTTTCCGTTTTGCCGCCGCAAGCGATAAAGTCGCCAATAATGGTACAACCGATGCCAAACGGAATATTCTCGCTGGTAACCTTTTACCTCATTTTCAAAACAAGTCGCAGCTTTTTCTTATCAGATTGATTGTTTCTTTCAATACTGACATATAATTACATAAAATTTTTATCAGATAGTTCAGTTTTATGTCTAAGGCCATTTTTGGTAATTAAGTCAATTAGGATGCAATCACAGCGCTTACCCGAAGCCGAAAATATAGAAAAGGTAAAGTCAAGAGTTAAATTCATCAATTCTAATGAGAATGCATTAGCGAAGTAAAGCACTGCTGTTTTCCAAATTTTCTGAGTAAGCTATTCGTACGAATTAAAATATTTCTTGCATTTAAACTTGTGTTCCAAATTAAGATTTAACTTGAAATTAATGTAGATAATTACTGAGAGCATTAGATTTTTGTAGAATAGTTTGCGTGAGATGAGATCGCTTGGGGTCACGTGATATGAACCGGCGAATCAGGATGTTGAACCATGAAAGCATAGTAAATTCTTAAATTAGTGTCTTTTTATAAATGTATTGTCTTTATTTATTGGCTTTTTATAAAATTTTAAGCGATATTAAAATGTTTATGCCTTCAAAATAAAAAATTCTTAGAACTAAAATTTTTTAAATATTTTTTATGTGTATACTGTATGTTGTCGCCAATAAAGTCTGCTTGGCAAGATTTGCGCCGGTGAAACGGAAAAGTACCCTTGAGGGCTTAGCTGCTGGTGGGCTCAAAAGTACTTTGAAATTTTGGATTTTTTTCAGTGTTTAATTTATCAAATTCATATCCGAATTAGAATCGCAGTTTACTATCATGCGTTATTAAATCAATCTATAATTGGTGTATGCATTTTATACCTATTTTTTTATTCTTATTTTATATATAAATTTCATTTGCATGTGTACATATACAGTAATCAGATAATATATATATTTCATTGAGTTTTTGGCTATCCAAAATAATGTGTTTTATAATAACTGTAATTTAGGAAATTAAAGAATTGATAAATATTTCATCTTTCAAGCATATTTTTGCTGAAAACTGTTTTTACCTTCATTCACTTTATTTCGCTACAGTCACTGAAAAATCATGTTTCTAAAATATTGTGTTGCATGGAGCTTGGTTATATTGCAGTTTATAAATAACAATTAAGCATATCTAAACAAAATTTATAAATGACAGTAATATTAGATCAGCTAATGGTATGTTATAATTAATGAAAAAATACTGATATAGTAATAAATGTGTAGATCCAGAAAGTTTTTCTGAATGTGACATGAAATATCAGAAATATACCATAGGATACTTTACCATAATCACTATTATATTTATTCTTTAATTTACCTTTTTTTGAAATTAAATATGTACATAAGAATTTTGAAGTCTTTTAAAAATAAAAATATATTGATTTTTAATTCTTCAAAATTTTATAAATTTTTATTTTTTCTAATGAGAACTTTCTTGCTGCTTTAAATGTTGTTATAAAAATATCATCAGAAATAAATATGTAAAATAAATAAAATTAAAAAAATTTGGAAGAAAAACTTTAAATTAAAGTGTTACTGGTACGTGTAATTATTTTCTGAAGCTAAATATTTCATTTTGTTTTTATTATGCAAGTATAGTACCTGCTGCTTATTAAGCTGACCATTTAATCAAATCAGCCACTTATGTTAAAATTTAGAAATAGTATCTCTATTAAAACCATTATTTATTAAACTAATGTCTGCAGCTTGTAAAACTCTGATTGAAAAAACTTATCCTTTAGTGCCAGAATATCAGAATTGTAATTACCAAAACTGTTTATATTTTATTTATTTAACTTGCTTTGCCCTTGAGGTGTTTAGTGTTTCATTAAAACATTGTTTATTACTCTCTTTGCTGGCTAGAAATGTGTCTTTTGAAATTGAATAAATCATTGGAAAAAGCATTTTTTAAAAATTTGTTGCATGATTAATGTTGTACTTATCAAAAATGCCTAAGAGAAAAAGTCTAAAAGAAAGTGATAAATTGTTGAAAGGTCTTGATGTTCTATATAAGTGCAGCCAGAGTTGTATTTCTAGAGCTAATATGCCGAAATGGAAAAGATAAATTTCTATCAATTAATGTAGGGCTTACAACTGGGAATGAGAGAAATGAGATTGCGTCTTGGGAATTGCACTGCGAAAAGGAAAAAGCAAATCATGCAGCTGATAACTGAATAAAATATTTTACCTAGGCTGATAAATGATTGCAAGCCACAAAAAATTTATCATACTGGTCAAACTGGTCTGTGTTACAGATTGTTAAAAAAACACACATTAATATTTCTGCAACAGATGGTTGTTTAAGAAACTGAAGGAATGGATTACTGTGTTATTAAAATGCAATATGGAACTAACAATTAAGGATCTAATTGTGCTTGTTGTCGAAAAAACCTCAGTATTTGAAATGAGTCAAGAATTTATCTTGCTATAACAATAAGAACTCATGTATCATAAGTATTGTTTTTGCTGTTCTCTTCCCCCCTCCAAATGGGACAGCAAAATGAAAAATGAAAAAATAACTTTTCTATTTAGATAACTGGGAAGCATAACCTCTCTGATCTCTTTCTGAGAAATATTAGTGTTTTTTCTTGCAAATACTACTCCTAACATTCATCCCTAAGGCCAAGATATTTGTTTCTACTCTTATACAGTCAAAAGTCATTAATCCGGACTCGTTCGGACTTCGGCGTTTCCGGATTATCGATTTTTCCAGATTATAGGTCATCAGTTTAAATCTGGTAAGGTGCCATGCAGAAATTATAAAATTAAAAATATGAAACCGTAATTTATGAAATAAAGAACAATTTATGATCTAAAGGGTATCAAAATTTACAAAAAAAAAAAAAAAGCTTAATATTTATTTGTTTACTTTAATTAAACATTTCTTTCAATGTAAGTTGTTTAAGTTGCTTCGTTTTTTGTGATAATACTTTCTCTTTAATTCTATAAACAGACATAATTTCTTGTTCAGTTACAAAGTTCCGCTGTTCAAGTCCTATAATTGCTGTGTCGAGAATACCGACTAATTTGTCAAGCGAAATTTTTTCGTTTTCAATAACCTCTATGTCACTTTCTTCACTATTGGAAGTGAATTATAATAATGGGGAATTTGATTTAAATCATATCAAAGACGGAGTACATCGAGATGAAATACTACATTTAGTAAGGAATTATAAGCTAAATAAAATAAAAACATCTGCCCTGAAGATAAGGATAGTGCTGACAGATCAACTTCCAATTCGTTGCGTGCCGCCGCGGCGTTTCTTCCCGCGGTGAGGTGTTTGTAGTTCATAGATTCCTTCGCTGCTTAGATCATGCAATTTGTAGATATTTTTTTAAGTTAAAACATATCGCTGCGTACGTGGAATCTTGTTGAATATTTTTGGTTAGAAACTTTACATTTTTGCTATCTAAATTTTTTGTTTTCATTTCAGATTTTTGACTTAAATTATGTGTTCAAAACGTGGTTTTCGCACATGCAAAAACCACGGTTTGGGAGACATTTTAGGCTTAAAGCTCGAAATGTAGACAAATTTAGATAATAATATAGTACCGTAGAGTTTCTTGCCAAAATTATTTGGAGAGAAATTTGTTGCCAAGCGAGTGCATATATAAGAGTAGTTCCAGATATTTTAAAAGTTTTCAAATGTCATTACAGAAATAAGGTTCAGAAAATAGTAAACAGTATTGAACCTTGTGAAAATGCAATAATTTCGAAGGAGATAACTAAATTGGTATCTCTGGTAGAGGCCATTCATATTATAATCAATACAAGGGTCTCTTAAAACACAGTTAAAAAACTGTTTTAAAAATATGGCATTTATGTAGAAAAAGCTACAGCTAATGTTTCGGACATCGGTGAGAAACGTTACGGAAGCTCATTGTTAGAATTTGTGTCAACTGACATCAGTTTTGAGATATGTTAAAAAAACTGATCATGATATGATAGAACATATTAAAAGAACTTCAAAAATTGACATTGGAGGTAGAAAAAAGTAACCTAGAAGGTGAAGGTTAGAAGAAAGTGATGATATGTTAACATCAATGAAATCTAGAAAAGCACTGCTTATTCTAAGAAAAACTCTTGAACTGTGTAGAGCTAATCTAAAAAGCTACCACTAGTTTTACAAAGTTGACAAACAATTGAAAAACTGTTGGTGAACAAAAAAAAAAAAAAAAAAAAAAAAAAAAAAACTGAGTCTTTTTTTTTTTTTTATCCTTATTTTCAGTATTATCCTTATCCTTGAGCTTTTCATCCATTTAGCCAAACCTCCTTATTATGTAGGTACTTATATTTTCACTGCTATAGAAAAATTACATAAATGTTTATTTTTTAATTTTTCCTGAAGATTTACTTTGTAAAATAATGTAAAAAATTATATATAATTCAATTCTTACATACATTATTTTTTTAAATTCGTAAATTTCTTCATTTATTGAAAGCACACACGGAGAAAGGTAAGTTTTTTTTTCCTACTACCTCAGTAAGTTTCAAAGTCTTAGACACGCAGTGGTTTCACAGTGCGACTACCGCCCACAGAACATTGGGCAAGAGTAGATTTTTTTAAATTCATATATTATTTGTCTCTAAGATCATAATATTCAATTTCTAGAGTTTTTAGTTAAAAAATTATTAAAATAACATCGGGGTTAAAGGGTTAAATGGCTGAGTTTAATAGATGGTGATCTGTGTATTGCAGATAGTGATAACAGTTTAAAACCCATCATAACCATCCATATACAAAAGTTATGGACAGAAAATTAGTTTGTTCAAGTTAAAAATTTCATCAAGTGCATAAATGTAAAAATTATTTTATGAAAAGCTTTTAAAATAAATTTCAAAATTGCATAAACAGTTTAATTTCAGCATCAATTTTTAATTATTATTTTAACTATTAATTATTAAATTAGTGTTTAGTTATTATTTTACAAGATGGGTTTAAAACTGTTATCACTATCTGCAATACACAGATCACCATCTATTAAACTCAGCCATTTAACCCTTTAACCCCGATGTTATTTTAATAATTTTTTTAACTAAAAACTCTAGAAATTGAATATTATGATCCTAGAGACAAATAATATATGAATTAAAAAAATCTACTCTTGCCCATTGTTCTGTGGGTGGTAGTCGCACTGTGAAACCACTGCGCGTCTAAGACTTTGAAACTTACTGAGGTAGTAGGGGAAAAAAACTTACCTTTCTCCGTGTGTGTTTTCAATAAATGAAGAAATTTACGAATTTAAAAAATAATGTATGTAAGAATTGAATTATATATAATTTTTTACATTATTTTACAAAGTAAATCTTCAGGAAAAATTAAAAAATAAACATTTATGTAATTTTTCTATAGCAGTGAAAATATAAGTACCTACATAATAAGGAGGTTTGGCTAAATGGATGAAAAGCTCAAGGATAATACTGAAAATAAGGATAAAAAAAGACTTTTTTTTTTTTTTAATATCAAAGAAAAAAAATTTTTTTTTTTTTGTGACACTGCTCAAAGCATGTTTTGTCATTTTAGTACATGCATAGACCCACATTGCACGTTTCGCACATGTATCTTCTTCTATGAGGTTTCACCCTTGTACTACAAAATGTACACTGCCTGGATCTAAATTTCACTGTTATATGTTTAGCGTTATTTAGTTTCTTTTCATCTGGCACATGAAATTTGTTGTTTTTTATGGTAATGGGGGGTGGGTTGTTCTTTTTGGCTTTGGTACGGATCATTCGTTTCCCATTCATATTTATTTTATTCGTATTTCGTCCCAAAATATTCAGAAAATATTTTAAATTTAAGTAAAACTTTACGCGATTTCTATTTTTAATTATAGCAAAGTACATTTACATTAAATTTAAACCACAGGAAATAATTTATAAAATCGCAATACTAGCTTGGGGAGCAAGTGTATTGAGGTCAGAGAAAAATCTCTGGAAAAGAAGACCTTTTTACAGGGCAAGTGCATGTATTGTTTAGTAATAAAATAACTCTGTGGTTTCAAAACCCCTTATCTATATCCGGGTAAAAATAAACATTCTTATTTGAGAAGCAAGCAAATGCCATTGTGAAGAGCAGTGGTTTCAAGGCGCGACCACCGAGCCTCTAGAGCATTGTAAGCATTGTGACACAATGGTCTAGTGGTGCAGTGGTCGCCTCCTGAAACCGCAAAGCAAATCAACACATATAGAGGGTTTTCTTTATATATACAGTTTAATTATTGCTATTTTTTATTGTTTATGATAAAAATCATGATGTGCGATGAATAACTTTTAAAATTTAAAGTTGTTTATATTAATAAAAGGAAGTTATTTTGTTTCATTGAAAACTGATTTTAAAAGGCATCCAATTTGAAGTACTAAGACCTAAAACATGTATGATTCTTCAGTCATTTTGTGTTATTTAGAGGCAAAAGATCAGTAATAAATTGATTTTAACTCAAAAATTTTGGAAAGAAGAGGAGAAAAAAATTCGAAAATTGGTGGTTTCAGGGCGCGACCACCGCGCATCAAAGGGTTAATAAATTCAAACATGTTTGGAATGTCAGTGATTTTACAAGGTGGCTGGCACTCTATAATTTCAAAACTATGATTACTTCACTTTCTCAGTAATCTTTAAAATTTTTCAGTCATTCTGTCATTTATTAGTAGCATTTTGAACAAAGATTCGATTCGCCAAAAATATCAGAACTGTTGTAATGATATTGCAGAATTGTAACAGGTTCTTTTGCCATATTATTTAACAAATAATTTTTTTATTATTTTCTTTTTATCTTTCAGAACTACTGTTGTTGAGGAACTAACCATGGATCCATCAAAGGGCTCTTTTTCAGTTCTTGATTATATGATATTTGCTTTTATGCTAATATTTTCTGCTGGTATTGGTCTTTACTACAGATTCACTGGTGGAAGGCAAAAGACGAACAAAGAATATTTCCTTGCCGATAAAAATATGCCTATCACCCCAGTTGCATTTTCTTTAATGGCCAGCTTCATGTCAGCTATAACTTTACTTGGTGTAGCATCTGAAAACTACATGTATGGTACTCAATTTCTAATCATCAATGTATCTTATATTATTGGTACTCCTATAGCTGCTTTTATTTTTCTTCCTGTATTTTTCCAAATGCAAGCAACTAGTGCTTTTGAGGTAAGATTTATTCATACTTTTAAAACATTAATATTCAATTCTTCAGTGATTTGTAGGTGAATAAAATAATATGATTTTGCTTTATTTTTTCCCTCCACAGTATTTAGAAAAGCGTTTCAACCGAGAAACTCGTCTCTTAGCAAGTTGTGTATTCATCTTGCAAATGGTATAATATATTTGCTGAAATTAGAATATATTTTCTTTTACATTTATAATATTCTATGTTTACTTTATGAAATTTAGCTAGAATGAGATGTCTAAAGTCTGTATATCTTTCCCTGTTATGGTACATAAAATATTTGACTATGTTTACATAATTAATTTTCTGCTGTGCTGCTGTAAACATCTAGTATCTTTTAATGTTTAAATAGGTTTCTTGTGATGTTTAAAGAAAATCAGTTTGATGTTTTAAAATAATGCATGAATTAAAATTATATGTTTAATGTTATTCTAAAAAATATTATTCATTGAAAATTTTTCTTAGTGTTTAATTGGTACTAAAAGGGGGGGGGGTGAAGAGATTAATTTAAATTAAATTAATTACAAATTTATTAATTTTAATCATTTAATTAAAGTACAGAGTATAACACTTCATTGAAATTTCTGAAATATTTTGACTATTCTCTTTTTCAGGCTTTGTACATGTCCATTGTACTATATGCTCCAGCTTTGACTCTGAGTGCTGTTACAGGTCTTCCTAAATGGATTTCTGTAATATCTATTGGAATCGTTTGTACATTTTATTGTACTGTTGTAAGTAATTTTGTACTGTGTATTATTATTTCATTCAGTAATATTTATGATTTACAATTAATTGAATAAGAGTTTTTGAACTGAATAAAATATTAAGCATTTAAAGAACTGTTTCATACAGAATGCATTCTAGTTATACCATTTCTGGGTTGAAAGGTTTATCGATCAAGTGGTGCTTTTTTATTATAAATCTAATAACCTCCACATGATTTCTTTCAGAAGCTCATGTTATTTATGCCAACAGGGTGGAATCAAAGCAGTTCTTTGGACTGATCTTTTTCAATCATTGTTAATGTTTTCTGCCATTTTTGCTGTAATTGCAAAGGGAACAATTGATGTTGGAGGATTTTTCCAAAGTTTGGGAGATTGCTGAGAGAGGAGAAAGAATACAGTTCTTTAAGTATGCATGCAATTTTACTTAAAATTTCATTCAAGTAACTAACTGTATCATATTAAAGTTTTATTTTATTTATGCAGTGCATATGTTTAATTTTAGTTTTGATCCTGATCCAACTATAAGACATACAGTATGGACTCTTGCCATTGGAGGTGTATTTCTTTATACTTCGATATATGGAGTAAATCAAGCCCAAGTACAGCGTCTATTGACTGTTAAAAGTCTGAGAAAATCTCAAATGTTAGTGAGTATTGTTATTTCTGTCCTGTCTTTACATTTTGCTTTATTTGACCTTTTTCATGGAAATTCAGGTTTATGTGATTATTTGTAAAATATTACCATTTTTAATGCTAATTTCTGAATATATTAGTAATATTTTTTCTTGATATAAGAAATGAGAGAAAAGGGAGTTGATGACTGTATCAATAATATTTCTAAAATGCTCCTCTTGCTTTATCTGGACTACTATTCCTTCTAATCTATTTACGGAACATGTAGGTGTCCTGAAAAGAACAGTGAGTCTACTAGACTATGTTCTGTAAATTGCAGAGGGAATTACAAAGAAGCATTTAATTACCCTTTATTTTCCACACTTAACAGGTGCTCTCGCACTTCAGGATACAAAGACCAACTCCTTGTGGTCTAAACGTAAGAAAATAAGAACTACTAGCTAACTAAATTTAAGAACTAACTTCAAATACTGTACACTATGACCGACACAAAGGCTGGCCTTTCAGATTATTACGTACGTAGAATGCAAACTGCGAAAAACTGCAATACGCCTTAGATATCAAGAGAACTAAACCTCTGGCCTTAAAGGCGATAAACTCGTTTATCATTCTGCCATTTGCAGTAAAGAACAAAAAATTAACTTAGCAAAGTAACATGAAGTTTTACTTATCTTTGTGATATTCGAACATCTGTTTTGCCACCTACTCCTGGAAGGTAGCAAAGACTATGGTGTGGTTTACCCGTCGTCTCGTTTGGGGCTGACCCTCAGTCTCCTCCCCATTCAATTTTTTTTTTTTTTTGATGTTCTTGTTGACCCTTGAAAAGCTTTTTCTTATCCGCTGGTTGCTTGATGGGTGCTGTCCTTTGAGTAGTCAGGACATCTCTTGTTGGTTGTTGCCGGGTTCTGCTTGCTCATTGTTCAAATTTTCCTTGCTGCCTTGAGTCTGCAACTGGCTTTCCTGGGTCGATTCGTGGAAACTTGTTGCATAGAATCCTTTCCGATGATTCTCCGTGTCTTTTCTCACAGATGCCATGACTGCGGCCATTTCTTCTTGATTGCTTTGTATTTCTAGCATTTCTCTTTTCTTCCTGTTGGAGCTGGTTGTGCCTTCTCTTTTCTGGTCAGGGAAGTATCTTGCTCTTCTTGCTCCCTTCGGTTTTCCATCGGGAAGGGGGCTTTTCTTTTCTTACCTCTATCTTTACTTGTGGCTGACTCTGGCAGTCGTTGTTGTCGTGCCATGTCATGAGATGGTGCGTGCTGTGCCGAATCCTGCAAAAGATCTTGAAAAATTTTCATTTTATTTCGATTGTAATATGGTTTAATTTGGTTGATATTTGCAGTAATTTTCTCACCATTCTTGGTTCTTAAGACCACTACAGCGTGGGTTACTTTTTCAATAACATATGGCCCTTCAGACTGTGGGCAAAATTTGACTACTTTATCTTCTGGTGCTGAAGAAAGTGAATGTTTTATCTTTAACACTTCATTCCCCACATTGTAAGTCACTTTCCATTTTTTCTTGTCCTAGTACAGTTTTTGTTTTTTCTGTGATACTTCAGTGTTTTCCTTTGCTTCATTAATTAACTTTTGTATATCTGCCGTTTGAAATTCAGAGGCTCCTTTTTGTACATAAAACAGCTTGTCTAATGGAGTTATAATTTTCCTGCCTTAAGATAACTCTGCAGGTATTTTTCCCATCGTGTCATGTTTTGCAGTCCTCAGAGCAAAAGCTAATTCATTGACGGGGTTTTCCCATCTTTTATGAAAATTTTTAACATAACTATGAATAACGTGTTTCTATTGACCTATTCCGCTATATTTAATTGTGGCCAATACAGCACCATTTTTAAATGGCGTATGCCCAGTTTTTCACACGTCTTCAAAAATATTACTAATAAACTGGAGGCCATTATCCAGTATAACTTTTAAGGTTTTCCCCCACTTTAAAATATGTTTATTTAAAATAGAATCAGTAACTAATTTCATGGAGGCTCATTTTAGGGGAACAACTTCCGTCCACTTACTAAAATTGTTGACCTTAACAAGGAGATATACCGTCTTTTATTTAACTCACTTTTTAGGAAAGGGCCCAATAAATCGCCACCTATTATTTCATTTGGAAATTGTGATTTGATGCACCTGTACTGCTAATAGAACTGCAAGTGCCTCTCTCTCAGTGGCAGAATAATTACTTTGAGTATCATTTAAAGTATGGCTAAAAATTGCTAAGGGCTGCTTATTTTGGAAAAGCACCGCCCCAACAGCATAATCCCATGCGTCTTAACGCAATTTCCAAATTTTCATCATTTTCTGGAAATTTCAAAATGCGGGCTTGTTAACGCATGTTTTAATTTTTCAAAAGCAATGTTTGCTTCAGCCGTTCAGGTGAATCTAGCTTGTTTTAATTTTAATATTAATAGCGTTTAGGCAATAGTAACAAAAACCTTTATGAAGGACCTATGGTATCAGCAGAGTCTTAAAAAGGAAGATAGTTTTTTCACAGTATTTAGCAGCGGATAGTTTTGAATCGCAATTATTTTTGATTTATCTGTTTCAGTTCCTTTTTGAGAAATTTTATACCCTAAGTAAAGTAATTCTGTGGCTGCCAATTTGCACTTATCAAACATTAACTTTTAGACCGTACTTTTAGACTTATCAACATTAACTTTTATAACACTGATTTAATAACAAAAACACCTCCTTTAAATCTTTTATATGTTGATCCAAATTATAATAATGTCGTATAAGTCGATAAATGTGCTTTTCAATTGGATGGGTCTTAGTACAATGTCCATACAGCGTTGAAATGTTTGCTGGTGCCCCTGAAAGGTAAATGGCATACACAAAAATGCATAAGTGCCAGACTTAGTTATAAATGTGGTGTTTGGTACATCTTCAGGTTTTTATGTTAAATCATAAAATATTCAGGTGTTAAATCTAATGTAGTCGTATATCTAGTGGAAGTTATACAGTAGAAAGTCTGTAATCCAGAATGATCTATAATCCGCACCTCAAAGCCACAAACGTTTTTCTGTACGCTTGACGCATGCGCGTTAATGCACGTTTATGCAGGCACATTAGGAGGATGTGTCTCCAGATACGTTAAAACATGCTTGGCATAATTTATGGCCAGCTAACATATTTCATGGTGAGGACGATGAAGATGATAGCCGCAAATTTGAAGGTTTTTGGACATTGCAAACTAAAGGTGAAATTTTCCAGTTATTGAATTTTGTAAAGAAATGTGGAGAAACGCAATAAATGAAGATGATACAACGGAAGTTTTTCATTGCGACGACAATGCCCCAATTAACGGAAGGCGAAATCTGTAGTATGGTTCTAGATCCAGAAAATACCACTTCTGATAGTGAAGAAAGTGACAGAGTGGTTATCGAAAATGAAAAAATTTCGATTGACAAGTTAGTCAGTATTCAATTACAGGACTTGAACAGTGGAACTTTGTATCTGAACACGAAATTATGCCTGTTTATAGAAGAAGCAACTTAAACAACTTACATTGAAATAAATGTTTAATAAAGTAAGCAAATAAATATTAAGCTTTTTTTTTTTTTTTTTTTTGTAAATTTTGATACCCTTTAGATTATAGTTGCTCTTTATTTCATAAATTACGGTTTCATATTTTTAATTGTATAATTTCTGCATGCCATTTTACCAGATTTAAATTGATGATCTATAATCCGGAAAAAACCCTAATTCGGATTCGTTGAAGTCCCAACGAGTCCGGATTACAGACTTTGTACTGTATTTCTCAAGATTTCCTCAATAATGTGTAATGGGTACACTGGATACTCTGTGACACTATTCAATTTATGATATTCTATTGTAAAACGCCACCTTTTTTGGGTGTGTAACTTGATACTCATTATTTTTCTTACATAGAACAACCAGGCTGGCATAACTACTTGAAATTGGGGTTATTATTTTTTATTTAGCATATCCTTGATGTACTACTCTATAATTTTCTCTTTAGGTTTGTCATACCGATAAGGCTTATGCCTAACTGGTTGTGAATCTCCGGTATCTATCTCATAGTCATTAGCTGTGTAAATCCCGGAACATCACTGAGTAAGGTAGAAAATTCATGTACCACTTGGCATAGTTTTTCTTGCTCTTCGGCTGGCAGGTGTTGAAGATTTAATGTGAGGTGCTCCGTTTTTACTTTTGGGACTTTCTTGGACAGCTTGAGAGATCCTTGACTGAAATCCAGTGTTGCTTTGGATGCTGAAAGAAAATCTTTCCCTAAAATAATACATGCTTGAAGATTTCTTACAATATAAAATATTATTTTTACCTGCTCGTTCTTAATCCAGATATACAATGACACTTTACTTAAACATTTACATCTTTCCCCCTGGGCAGCTATCACCGTCGTATCCTCTGAACTGTAGATTCTATATCTACGAAAATACTTCTTTAAAAAAAGTCTTCTGCCACGAAGCTACACTGAGCCCCTGTATCCAGGAGGGCAGTAGCTGGGATATTGTTAACTAGAACTTCAATCTTCAGAAGAACTAAATTTTTCTCAATGACTATATTGAGCTTGATGATAGAGGGATTTTCTTGGCCTTCGGATTTCCGCACCCTCCTGTCAGCAAAAATCTGTTTCAGTTTAAATCTTCTTTCTTCTTTTCTGGGCCTTCCTTCTTTTTCCACTACGTTTGATGGTTGTTTTTGGGTATTCAGGTTTCTTTGACCGCTGATTCGACTTACTTCCATATCCGTGATCTTGCCTTCGCTGTGGCCTTGGCGCACCAAATTGGCTACGTTGCTCGTACTGGGATCTTCTTTCGTTGTCCACGTTCTTCTGCTTTCAAACTGGATTGCGAGCTCGAATAACTTTTCCAACGTCGTAGGATTCCTTAATTCGATAAATTCTTGTACCTGGGGAAGTAACCTAGGCAAAATCACCTGGATTATTTCAGGATCTGGCCGTCTTCCATACAAGTGTTTAAACACTTGCATTTTCCTTAAAATAAAACTTGAGAGG